GCATGTCAAAAATATATTTCTGTTGTGATATAGATATCTCTTTTTAAAACGAGCAAATTCCATTTTCAGAAAATACCTGAGTGCTCCAAGATCTTTATCTCAAATTCCGTGGCAAGAAAAGTTTTGAGTTTTTGAATTTTCTCTATGTTATCACTTGTTAAAATAATATCATCAACACAAACAATTAGGATAATATTCTTACCAGAGGCACTGTTATTGACAAATAAAATATGATCAGACTAACACTGCTCATATCTCATATGTTTAACTGCTTTGGTGAATTTGTCAAATCAAACTTTCGGAGATTGTTTTAGACTATAGAGTGCCTTTTTGAGTTTGCGCACCTTGTGAGATTCATATGTGGTCTCAAAGCCCAGAGGAACTTCCATGTATATCTCTTCTTCTAAATCTCCATTGAGAAATATATTTTTTACATCAAGTTGACATAAAGACCAATCAAGATTAGAAGCAAGAGAGAGTAATACCCAAATAGTCTTGTGCTTAGCCACTAAGGCGAATGTCTTCTAATAGTCTATCCCGTAGGACTGAGTGAAGCTTTTTGCTACTAGACGAGTTTTGTACCGATTCACACTTTCATTAGGATTGTGTTTTGTAGTGAATACCCATTTGCACCCCACTTTATGTTTTCTAGGTGGAAGTTCTGTCAGTTTCCAAGTTTTGTTCTTTTCTAGGGTTCTGATCTCTTCTTGAATAACACCTCTCCACTCTGGTAGTGCAAGGGCTTCATGAATTGTTTTAGGTTCAGTGGAGCTGCCATCAAGCTTACTTACATAGGCATGATACTTTGAAGACAAGTTGTTGAATGAAACATAATCCTGTATAGGATGTCTAGTACAAGATCAAGTTCCTTTCCGCAAAGCAGTAGGTAACTCAGTATCATGGTTAGTAATAGTAACAGTATCAGAAATTGTGCCTGAAAACTTATTACCTGATGTGTCCTTACTGCTTGGAACTGGAATAGACTCATGACAATGTGTAGTTGGTTTAGAATTTTTATCAACTGGAGCTTTGTTTCTCTTAGTATAGACACGTAACTCTTTGTTGATAGTAGTAGGTGCAGGTTTAGGTTCAGACTCTTTGTTACTGGTTTCAGAAAAATTTGATGAGGACTCGGGAATAGTAAGGGGAAGAGAGATGAGAGATGGTGTACTTATATCCCATACTTGATATTTCTGATTAATACTTTCTCCCTGAATATCAGTAGTGGGATAGAATGACTGGTTTTCAAAGAAAGTAAAATCTATAGTGTTGTAGAAACGACGGGTTCCGAAACAAAAATATTTGTATCCTTTTTGAATTGGTGAATATCTAACAAAAACACATTTAATGGTCATTGAATCAAGTTTACTCCTGAGATGAGCATGAATATGAACATAGGCTACACAACCGAAAACTTTGTAGGGAAGAGTATGAAGGATATGAGATTGTGGAAAGGCCTTTAAAAGTGTATCATAGGGTGTTCGAAATGCAAGAGTTTGGGAAGGCATGCGGTTTATCAAGTATACAGCAGTGAGAACAGCCTCTCCCCAAAAAAAATTTGGAATGTGAGTAGTGAACATAATTGATCGGACCACTTCAAGAATGTGTCTATTTTTTCGTTCGGTTATGCCATTTTGTTGTGGAGTATTAACACAGGAACTTTGATAAATAATACTGTGGTCATAAAAGCATTGTCTGATCTCAATACTTGAATCATAGTGTGAAATTTTTGAAAATTTTGGCCAACTTCAAATTTTTCTTTCATGAGAAAGATTTAAGTAATTCTACTGTGGTTATCAACAAAAGATATAAAATATTTTGTTCCAGTGATATTAGTAACCCGAGAGGGACTCCATACATCACTATAGATTAATGAAAAAGTTTTTCTGGGTTTGTAAACTGAACTGGGAAATGAATTTCGAATATGTTTAGACAGCTGACATACTTCGCATTGAAAGGAATTTGGATTTTTATTTCGAAACAAAGTAGGAAATAGCTTTTTCAAGTACAAGAAATTAGGATGTCCTAAACGGTAATGGCATAATATGATGGGACATTTCCTATTTAAATTGTTTACAGATTCAGAATTAATACATATTGTATGATGAGTTTGTCCACTAAGAGAAGAGTTGTCAGCTTGTAGTAGATAAAGACTCGAATCCATACTAGCATTGTCAATCGTCTTCCCCGAGTCCAAATCTTGAAATTCACACAGATTAGAGTTAAATGTAGTTATACAATTCAAATGCCATGATACTTTTCTTATTGACAGGAGATTGCAATCCAAATTTGAAATGTATAGTACAGAGTACAAAATTAACTTGGGTGACAGTGCAATTATTCATGTTCCTTCGACTTGGGAATTAGAGGCATCAGCAATTTTAATTTGAG